GGATCTTATCTATGCACAATCAGCTTGTAACACTCCAAAGAGAAAGGAAAACTTGAAATCGCATCATATGACCACTTTAAGTGAAAAACAAGAATTACTTAACATTAGTCAGCAATTTGAACTAAACAGACAAACAATTAGTCTATAATAATCAGAATTAGCAAAGGATAAGAAAAAAAGAAACTAACAAGTTTGAGCTTGCTAAGAATACAAAGGCAATCATGGCTTATTTTAAAGAAAAATCTAAATTAAGAACTCCATTAACAAGGTTAAAGTGAACTGAAGTGCATATTTGGGTAATGATCAAATTTTATTTACATTTTGAATCACCATAAAGCTTGAGACTAAAACAGGATTTGGTTATGAAGTGTAGCTTCTACGTCTGCGAACGCACCTCTAAAACCTGCTTTCCCTCGTCTCTTGCTTCACTGCAGGACACAACTGGTGGCGGATTACTTTTTTGGATATTCTCATTGTTAGATCCAGGGACAGCTGATTTCACCAAGTACAACATGTTCAACATCACTCCAACCAAGCAATCAGAATTGAGAGATAATGTCAGTTTTAGGCTTACGATCAGGATTAGGTGCTTCTACACTCTTGTTAATCAGCTATCATTTAAGAGTGAGTAGGAATAAATTATGGGTAGGGTTAAGTTTAGGGGTAGGGATTGGGATTGGGTGAAGTCTGTATTTTTGGACAGTAATGTTGATCCAGGATCATGTCTTACTTGACAAAATCACGGCGACCGCAGCAACACACAGATAACATCTCCGTTTGTATTCATCCAGTTCCAAGCAAGACTGCCGAAGAGATTCATCTTCTTTAGTCGGGGAAGAAACCCTATTCTCCAGAGACGCAACTCTTTTAGTGACGTCTTCGATTTCTCTGCCGAAGAACTGCACAGATGAGGAGCGGGAACGAATAGAAGCGGTGTTCTCTTGAACCAACCATTCCTCTTCAAGTTTGACTATTTTTCCAATCGCAGCCAAAAGAACAGAGTTTGGCACATCATCATTCGGTGTACACGCGATTTCTTGGCCACTGGACGTTTTCTGGAGTTTCAGGTCGAGGGATTATGTCAGCATCAGATTTTGAATCCATAGACAGTGTTTCCCCTGACATTATATTAGGGGCACCCCCCCGAAGGTCAAGTTACTTATATTTTCTCTATAGCGCCAGATCACAACAGAAGTCATTTAAAGTTACCTTTCCTATAGAACATGTCTATACCTTGTTCTTTTATTAAACAAACTAAATAGCCTTATGTTATTTATCATATTTACACGACGGCATGTCATTACATGTCTCTACGTTACATGCTCACGCTCTCTGCATCACGCACAAGTGAGCACACTCACACTAGTATTTGTAAATATTAAGCCGCAAAACAACTATTTAAAGGGGTCATATGATGCTGCTAAAAAGAACATTATTCAGCGAGAATAAAAGTTATGCCTTCTTTCTTTGCGTGAACATTTGGTTGGCGTTATGCAAATCTTCCCACATAGTGAGGTAGACATGTGGGGGCGTGTTCGAACGAGCCGTTTTAGGTAGGTGTGGCTGACTCTTAACTTTTATAAAGAATATCTCTTTGGATTTGAGACTTTAGTGTTTGCAACTTTACAGATCTTCTTTATGCACCAAGAGCTTGTAACACTCCAAAGAGAAAGAAAAACTTGAAATTGCATCATATGACCCCTTTAAATATGAATTCTGCGTGTCTCTGTGTTAATGAATGGCGCAGTCGCACGGTTTTGTGTACTACTTGTACTGAAGCGCGTGACGCTTGTGGTGATATTAGCGTCTGCTTCTCACTAATGAGGACATAAACACATGAACAACATCTCCAGAACTGCTCTGAGAGTCACTTCATCAGCATTTGACAGAAATATATTAGCCTACTATTGTTCAGTAGAATGTACGTAATAGGCTACTACTACTACTAAAATTATTAAAAGCTTATTTTTAAGGAATAATCATACAATATTCATTGAATGTTTTAATTTTAATATTAAATCCCCTTTATTTTCAAGAAAAAAAATTTGTTTAATTTTCATTAATTAAAAGAAAAATTAAATGAATGTTTTATGCCTTAAAAATGTAAATAAACAACGCAGAATTTCTGAGGGGGAAAAAATCATAAGGCTATTGTAAGAATAAATGAAACTTGTTTTTATGCTTTCAAATATTTAGACATGCTAAAACACAGAATTTGGTAACAATAAAACATAAGGTTTGAAAAAATAAAAAGATTTTGGGCCCCAAACATGTTCTGTGTTATTCTTACTTTTTATACATTATGATCCAGTCATTATTATGACATTGGTATTGTAGTTGTATTATTAAAAGCTCCTTAAATTATTTTAAATGCAAAGTATGCTATGCTATGTTGTTCACGTGAGGCTATTCTTTATTTACTATAAAAAAAACTTTAAAAATTGATCCAGTTACTCGATTATAGTCAAAGCAATCAACTGCTTACTCAAAATAAATCAATAGCAACAGCCGTGCAAACATCTCATGACTATAATCTCAGAAGTCTGCTCTTTCTGTTGGACGGATAGTAAACCTTGAAGGAGAAGCCACTTCTTGGAAAAGAGCCCTGAAAGCGTAAGATAGCAACAGATTTCACATCAAACTCACTGAACGATCAGATTCCATCAGTCCAGCCATAACACACACACACACACACACACACACACATATAT